ATTCTAAAAAAAAAGTTAAAGGAAGAAAAATAACAACCACGAATCAGACTCACAAAATACCAGTGAATTGGACATAATAGCTACAGAATACACAGCATGTTTTCTTGTTAAAGGTCTGATGAAACAAGATACAAAAATGAAGAGCAAAAGAGAATTATCAAATGTAAGAAAGATGGTAATTATTGAACTTAGCAAGCCCTGGTAAATTGAAAACTGGAAGGGTGACATGTGGCAGATTGGTACCCTGACTCAAAATCATCAGGGTATATCCCACAAAAGAGAGAGTTGGATGGATTTGAGAATAGAATATAGCAAATCTAGCAAATCTCAGAATGAAGACTTCCATAGACTAAATGTGTATGGAAGTTAAGGGCATCTCAAGATGGGGTTTACAGTAGCCCCAGGATGAAGGTGCTTAGACACCAGAGTAGGGGGTTGAAGCAAGTTTCAAAGTCCTGCTCTGGCCTCTCTCCACTGACAGAGTCCTTCCCTGGGGAGCAGAGCAATGAAACACAATGAGTGCACATTATTGAAGACCATGTTGCTTTTAACATCAAAAGAGGAAATGTATATGAAACAACATGGCTGAATATTTAAAAACCTATGTTTTAATAAAATTGAGTGAGATGGGATTTCTGGGTAATGTATTTATGCAAATTAAAAACATGCCCTCAAAATAATCATGTATGTTTTATAAAACAATAGATAAAAAGGTACATAACAACTATGGGTTAGGGATAAAATAGAATAAAGTCAGAAGGGATTTGTTTGGGCCATGTTATACACCATGAACTAAAGAATACAAGCATACTTGCCTGAAATTAAAATATAAGAGAAGAGAAAAACTCATTGGAGGTATTAAAGAGTAGATGGAAAATACTCTATTAATAGAAACTAGACAAATTTATTTATTTATTTATTTTTTATTAGTTTTATGGAGAAACAAATAGCAATGAGACAGTTTTAAAACAGGTTAGGACAGTTTCAATAATTAATGCATGGCATATTGTTGTTTTTGTAGTGGTTATTCATAGTACAAGATGCAGACATGATATCCTGTCCAAACACTATTAGTACAAATCTTTCTTACTGAATTAAGAGAAAGTAGCTCTATATCGATCCTATTTTGAATATACGGATGCAAAATGGTCATTCATTTGTAATCCCTTTTTTGTTCAGTTTTGTCAAAGATTGGCATTCTGTTGCCATTTAAATATTGTAGGTACATTAATTCAGCAAAATAATCCAATATTGTCCAGTAGTCCATAATAGTATTGGATTATCTATATGACTGGCAAGGTCAGAATTTGTTGACTTATTAAGACTCAGGACATATGAGAACTTGTACTGTAATGTCATGTACCTCGGTAGTGTCCCAAATTTTCTGATCAAGATTATGGTGCCAAAGAGGAAAGTGATCGATGACATAGAGTGTGCCTAAGGAGAGTCACATGGGGAGAAAACACTCTCTCAGGCTTTCACAGAGAGCACATTGGCCAAGCAATGGCCATGACTCATCCACATGGCTCCACTGACAAAGGTTCTACAATCTGAGGTACAGGATCTCAGGATAAATCCTGAGGGGATTTCACTGACCTTTTCAGACCAAAAAGCTACAACTCTTATTGCACAGGTCCTGCTTTACCTTGGTCTTATCCATCCAGTAGAAAAGTATGAAGATGAAATATAGGAAGTAAAGCCATGCTGTTATGTTGAGCTGTGGGGGACTCAGGTCAATAATTTCTGACATTGCCATTTAAACAGAAGACTCAATGCTATTATGGGCTACTGGACTCTTTTAGAATATTTTGCTGAGTTTACACACCTATAATATACAATAATGGAACTTAGAAAAAATAGGGTATACCGATGAATGTCCATTTTGTATCTGTGTATTCAAAGTGGTTAGGATAGATATATAGTTGCATTCTCTTAATGAATAGAATGATTTGTTCTAATGGTGTTTGCAAATAGGATCTCAAGTCCGCATCTTGTACAGCAATTAACCACTAAGAAGAATATATGCAGTGTGTTATTTGTTGAAACTGTACTTCCGATTTGATTTGAAACTGTCTCATTGCTGTTTATCAATAAAATTTTGGAAAAAAATTTGTTGACTTGAGCCTTTTACAGCTCAGCATATTAATATGGCTTTACTTTTTATACCTTGTTTTTTTACTTTTCTGCTGGATGGTTAAGACCAAGATAAAGCAAGACCTATATAACAAGAAACGTAACTTTTGTATCTGACAAGGTCAGTTAAATCCCCTCTGTATTTAACCTGAAACCCTGTGCCATAGCTTATAGATCCTTTGTCAGTTTCAGCCATGTGGATGAGTCATGGCCATTGCTTGACCAATTTGCTCTCTGTGAAAGCCTGAAAGATTGTTTTCTCTCCAGGTGACTCTCTTTTGGCACACTCTACATCCTGGATAACTTTCTTCTGTGGCCCAATAATCTCCTTGATCAGAAAATTTGGGACATAACTGAGTTACAGGATGTTACAGTACAGGTTCTCCTATTTCCTGAGTCCTCACTGACCTTGAAAGCCTAGAGCCAAAATGTTGGTTGTCCTTTCAGTCTTTCTTTTAGGAGACAAATTTTAAAATATTCCCTTGAATATAAGTTAAACATAAAAAGTATGGAGAGAAAATGCCACACAACAAGGAGAATACAGTGAGATGATATAAGGTAGAATCTGAGAGAGTTAATATTCAAACAAAGAATGGCTAAGAATATTCCATAGTTGAAAGATGTTTTCTCAAATTTAAGAAGTAGCATGTGACATGAAAGCATTCAACAGAAAATAAGAACAATGAACACAAAGTGGGCATATCAAAACAGAAGAAGCAGACTACATTCTAAATGATTAAGCTGGCCAACAGGTAGCTCAATAAGAATGGAAACATTAAGAACATGATGCAACTTCAAAGAGATAGGAGGACATATCTATGAACCTAGACTTGTGCACCCAGCAAAACCATCTTTTATGAGTGAGAGCAGGGGGAGGATTGGGGCAGGCGGCAGGGGAGGAAAGAGAAGAGTGATGAGAAAATGAATTAAAATGTGTTGTGCACATGTACAAACTACCCACAAGGGATACAAGGATCATCATATTACAAACATGTAATAAATGAAGAGAATGATCTAAAAAATTCAAATAAAAAAAGAAAATAAAAGAATGAGGACACTCACTAATCTCACGATTGGTGTTTACCAGACCTGAAGTCAATTTGTGGAAGGATATCTGTACTCTTGTGTTCACTGCTGTGCCATTCATAAGCTAAGTTATGGACATGATGTAAATGCCCATTTATGGGTGAATGCATAAAGACAACATGACAGTTACATACAATGGAATACTACCCAGCTTTTAGAAAGACATTAATTCTGAAATTTGCAAGAACATGGATATAATTAGAGAACATGAAACTAAACAAAATAAAACTAGACACAGAAAAATGAACTCCACATCATCTCATTCATCCAAAGTAAACAAACATCAAAACAGAAGATAAGATGGCAGCTACAGAGGCTGAAGTGTGGAAAGGGAGAGAAGGAAATGATGGTCAAAATACATACAATCACAGTTAAAAAGAGTAACTTTATTATTTTTTAAAATTGTGAGCTCTCTAGCACAGCATGGTAATTGTAGTTGACAGTACAGTATTGTATATTTCAAAACTTCTCAGAGAATACATTTCACCTGTTCTCATGACAAAAAGTACTTGATGTGATGGATATAATGTCTTGATTTAATTATTATAATATTGTGTTCATAATTTTAACATAATTGTGTACACTATAACTTATGTGCTTATAAATCTAAAAAAATAAAAATAATGAGGCTAAAATTAAAGAAATTTTAATCATCAAAACTAGAATTGTTACAAGAAGACCTTCAGTGACAGGGCATTCAAAGCAAGTACTTCAGTCAGGCAAAATAAAGGCCAGAAGATATTCAACTACAATAAGTATTTTTAATATTGTTTTGAAAATCAATGTATTATTAATGCATATAATTAACACAATGTGGAAGTACACATTCTTAATATATCATGATCATTTTAAATCTTCTTACCCTCCTTTTACTCTTTTTTCCCCCTTTCTGATCCTCTTTCCTATTTTATTTACCTGAAATGTTATTTTTTAATTTTTTTAAAGAGTACAAATTAGAATTAAAACAGAAAAATATTACAAGTGATACAGAATTTCACTTAAAAGTGTAATATGAATTTCACAGTATTTGTTGTAATACAGTGTCATCTTCCAACCAGTTACTTATATTACCAGATATATACATGTAAAATTGGAAGAACAAGGAAAAATAAATGTATAAAAAATTAAGAAGAGGAAAAAGTACAAACAATTAAAAAAGGAGATAAAACAAATTATTATCTGTTCCTTTCCACAGATTAGCAGAAATGCACAATACTGTCGTCCAAACTATCCTACTTATATACATAGATAAATCTCTTTCCCCCACACCCTCTCCTGTCCTTCTCCTCAACTCAGTAACGCTTTCCTTTTGAATAAGTTCACTCCCTTTCCCTAATATCTATTGTACCCTTCAGATTCCATTCTTCTCTTTCAGGTTCTCACACTAATGAGACAATCTGATGTTTGCACATGTGGGTCTGACGTATTTCACTTAAGCATATGTTCTCTAGTTGCATCCATTTATCAACAGAAGACTCAAATGTATCTTGTTTTGTAGCTGAATAATACTCCATTGTGTAAAAACATCACATCTTCTTTATCCATTCTTCAGTTGATGGGCATCTGGGTTGCTTCCAGGATTTAGCTATGACAAATTGTGCTGCTATAAACATGGGTGCACAAATATCTCTGTGATATGAGGTTTTCAGTTATTTTGGAATAATACCCAGGAGAGGGATAGCTGGATTGAATGAGATATCCAACCTAGCTTTTTAAAGAATCTCCACGTTGATTTCCACTACTTTCTAGTTTTTCATGATCTCTAATTTAAAATCCATTTGTTTAAAAAAAAAACTAGCAAATCAACTGGGCTTAATTACTCACCTTGCCTATTTATGTATTATGACAACACATATTAAAAGTGAATCCTTGGTAAACTGACAGAAGAAATTTCATTATACAGTGGGATAACTGAAAAATAATATACACATAAATTAAAGTTCAAATAGTGCAATTTCTAGAACAAATACTGTTATCCAGGTGTTTAAGATTTATATAAATGGAAGGGAATTTAGAAAAGTGTTAATGACAGTATTGGCATAACCCTTACACTTTATACCAAAGGCAAATGCTATAACCAATGGTTTCAACATTTGTTCCTGTAATTAACCTAATACTAATATCAAGAGCAATGGAGGAATATAGAATAGGTTTTGTGCTTTTTTATACATTAAATCTCATCAATATATAACTTGAACATGAGAGGTGTTATATAATAGAAGTTCATTCTATTTAACCAAAATTTACAAAGAAATACAGAGCATGTATGGGTGATTAAATATTGAAGTGAACTCGAAGTGTTCAATCTACTGCAAAATTCATTTAATGCAAACATACTTTGGCAATACTGACATTATTGATATTACACTTTAAGGGAACATTTTCATCCAGTGTACTTCATGGAAATTTAATTTCCTTCTCTGAGAATTTGGAATTTATTAGAATCTGTCTATTTCCAACACAATTTTCCAAAAGTACATAAAAATGTATATGTATACTTATATATATATGAGTGAAGAATTTGAGTGACTGTTAAAAATCCCACAGTATCAATTTTTATTTTTGCTGTGAAGGTACATTTATTATAACAGGTGAAATGACAATAAGTAAAAATCCCCCAAAAGCTTTTTGAATTTATCATCATGAAGTTGATTTGATGTCTATTTTTATGCCACTATCCTGTTTTACTTTATGATAGGCTTTGTGACCAAGTATATGCTGAACCTTATCTTAGATAAAATTTCAACTGTAACTCTTTAAACAAAAGAACATAGCAATCACATTTACAGACATTAAAAAGAAAACTAATAGAAGAGTTTAAAATATTTAGATTCATTTTGATTGATTTCTTCTCTTCTCACTTAACTTCTCTAAAATTTTGCTTTGTACCTAAATAAAATATCAGAGTTTGGATGTTGAATGCCAAAAAACAATCGAGTGTAATTTAGTTTTACAGACTTGTTTTCAATTATTTGTAAGTCAAAATATGTTAATAATACAAGCAACAATAGCTTAATTTCCATAATTGCCAAAAATCGGCCTGGACATTTGGTCGCTCCAATTCCAAAAGGTATTAAATAAAATTTCAGCTTTTTTCCTCTTTTGTAAAAAGAAGTTTTCTTCTTACTATCTTCCATAAAACGATCAAATCTAAACTCCTGTAAAGAAGAGTAGACAATATTAGCATTAAAAGTTCATGTGCTCATTCTCCATGCCTGTCTTAGAAGCTCTTTTCAATCTAATTCTGGAAAATAAAGCTTCAATATTTACAAATCATGTATAAAGTTCTAAAACTTAAATGCTTCTAGAAAATTATTTCCCCATACTCCAGTAGAATCCTCAAACTTATATGAGTCCTCATTCCTTTTCATACTCTCGCCTAAGTCTCATTTGGCTTTCTGTTGCTATCACAGAATACTAGAGACTGGAAAATTTATAAACCAAAGAGGTCTATTTCAGCTTATGTTTCTGGAGGTCCAGGAGTACAGTGACAAAGAGGGCTTTGTGTTGCTTTACCTCATGATGGAAAGTGTGAGAGCAAGCAGGTGCATTACGAAGAGGCAAATTTTGAAGAATAGCCTTACTTTATAATAAATCACTCTTGTAGTAATTCAGTTCCAAAAGAGTTAGAACTCATAGAAGAAAAGGAGAAAGGTCTTAATCCCTCCTAATGATCTATGACCATCTCAATCAAGGCCCTGCCTCCCAACACAGTCAAAACGACAATCAAATTGAGTTTCAGAGGGAACAAACCATATTGAAATAATCACCTTCACTGAGCATTACTTTTCCCTTGTTTTTATCCACAAAGTTTGCATTTGCTTTTGTTCCTCTCACTTGAGCAGAACAGCAGTGTCATGAAGGACAGACTTTTACCAGCAGCAGCCAGCACTGCTGCACCGTTTTCCAGGTCTTATTTGTCACCTAAGATGGATTCTCACCTTTCATATATGAATTTGGTGTAGAAGGCCACAGTGATGCTGACACTAACTTCTAGGGTCTACAGGAGCTTCCTAACAATGGGGAAATAACTTTCTTTTCTCTTAAGCCCTTCACAAGCTCCTACAGATGGATGAAGATTATGAGTTTAAGGTTAAGTGTGTACACTTACATTATATAAATACAAAATAATAACATTCAAATAAGGCACTAGAGAGAACATATCACAAAACACAATTTGCTTCTCTTGATATTGAAAAGAATTTCTTCTATAAAATTTCTATTAGTGTGAACTCTCCTTGAGTTAAATCTGGGGTAGCGAGTGCTTCTGGTACATTTTCATAAATAAATTATGTTACTTGTTACAGAAAATTATGAGCCTGGTTATTCGAGGTGTTTGGATTTCCATCTTAATTTTGCCACACAGGTAAAGGTCATGGCTCAACTCTCACTTGAGTTTTGTAGAGGAGACTGAGTGACCTTAATTCAGCCCATGGTAAATTAAACCATTGATTAAATTAATGCTCATGGCTCACATGAAAATGACCACGTATTTCCTGTAGTTGGTGCTCATTAGCATTAGATCTGCATAGCACACAACTTTGATATAAACCACGTGAAGTCAAGTGCAAATAAGTAGGTCAGAGCCAAGCATTCCAGGTATGGTGAGAACTATCAGGAATAGACTGTGAATCTATCAAAAATGATCCAATTTTCCTACACAATCCCAGTACAATTAATGTCAGAGAGTAATTTCCTTTAATAGTATTATTTTAAATCCTCATTTATCTAGAATACTTACTTTGATAAATATTTGAGTTCATAAAAGCTGCAGTTTGTAAATTAATCCAATAATAATGGTAAAATTAATCTGGATTTCACTGATAATACAGGTAAACCTGAAGAAGCCCTCAAAAAACTAAAAAATCTATCCACTACTACCTAAACAATAAGTTATCTAGACTTGAGTAATAACATATATACTTATGAAAAGAAGAAAGAAGAGTCAAGAATGTTTTTATACTTTTGCTCTCTTATCACTGTAAATTTCACTTGCCAATATATTTTCCCACATTGGCAAGAACTGCCTGAATGCTTAATGTTACAATAAATTTAGAAATCAATATTCAGAAAAAAGATAATAACACGGAAGTTTCATGTTGGCAATTTATGTGCCAGATTAGATATTAAAGCATCTGCTGTTTATCCCATATTGTTTTAAACTTTATTGTTATAAAATTTTAAAAATTGAAAACTTTACCCATCTGTTTCTTTATGTTCTTAAAAAAAATCAAAGTGACTTGAGAAAGTAGGTTTAAATGTGTGCAAAACCTGAAGAGTTTTTCTGGTTTCCAGTGTTCTCATTTAAGTAGCTTTTGGGGAGTCTTTTTGCATAATTCTTATTATCTCTAACAGCATTACTATATTTATATAAAATCCACTTTTTTGTTCTATTATAGTAATATCTGAATGTACATGATGTGCGCTAATTTAACATTTTAACTGCAATGTGTTTATATTTTCAGTGTATTCAATCATCTTAGTATCCATTTTTGTATTCAACTTGCAGGAAGCTGCTCCTGTCAGGCCCACTGAAACAGTAGGGTGTTCACCATACAAAGGGTATGCGCATATCTCAGAGTGGATAAAGACAAATTCTTAGGAATGAATCAGGGAAAACCTGAGATAAGGCGACTCAAGTGATTATTATGAAGAATTCGGAGTTTCCTGGGTGAAGAGGTAAGGAGGACTATTTCAAGGATGAACAAACAAGAAGAGATATTTCAAGAATAGAAAGATGTGGCTGCAAAAGCTCTAAAGTGTAAAACATGAGCATGTCCTGTTTTGGAATACAATACTTCAGAGTCTTCTAAAAGCTCAGATGTTCTAAAATCATATCCTTCTGTATTAGGTGGAAACAGATTCAACTAGGGCACTTTATTCTCTATGTTCTCCAAGAACAACTATACCTATAATCAGTTAGCCACCTTATTTTTGGTCAAACAGCTGCCTTTTTTATGGACTGGTTTTTGTGCAAGACTGTAGAATACACATGGCTGTTAGATGGGAATATGAGTTTCTGTTGATTTCTACACCGGTGGTCTCAGCCACTGATGGGATTTCCCAGAATTTTCTTTTTCTCTTTTCTATAAATGTATGGTAGTTTTTCTATCTGTTATGTGAGCATCTGTACCATCTACTTACCACTATTTTATATTTTCAAAACCCAAACAATTTGAGGAATAAACAGATAGGCCTGAAAGTGATAGGTAGAAACTTAGTAAATGTTTACAGAATAAATAATGATACCTGGACAAATTACATAAAAGTGTTTTTAACTGTTTCTTTGATTCTGTACCAGGAGTTCTCAGATTCCACAACTAATTTTAAGATAGCAATACCATGGCAAAAGATTAGCTAATTAATTTTTACATTAGCTAGGCATAAACTGTATTAGTATTATATCTAGTAAATAATAGAATGTTCATCAGCTCAAGTTATTCACTGTAATGATGCTAAGTAACCAAAGTATTATAATTTTTATTCTTCTATCAGTTTACTATGATCCACACTTTTCTAACTATTAAGATTGGCTGATTTACTTATGCAAAGTTTTGAAACTGCTATTTTGTATTTCACGTGAAAGATAAATTCAAATACTTCCACTTTTTATCTTTGGTTTTTAACCTCCTGAAATTAAAAATGAAGATCATACGATTGGTGAGGCATGGGAATTAGTGACACAGACAGTGGCACCTTGGCAAACATTGAATATTTGTTGGTAGATTTAGTGTTGATTTCACTATCATGACCTAATTAGTGAACTTAAAGAACAGTAGAACAATCACAATGAAAATAGAATGTAGGGGCCGGAGAGATGGCTCAGTGGAATACATGCTTCCCTGGCAAACACAAGGGTCTGAGTTCAATCCCTGGTTCTGCCAAAAAAACACACACACACACACACACACACACACACACACACACACAAAAAAAAAAAAAAAAAAAAAAAAAAAGAAAATAGAATGTATAATGTCATGCAGTATAGCAAGCATTACTGAACTCCTATTGTTTTGTTTAGTGAAGTTCTGTAGTATTTCTAATGTTTTTTTTTTCCTATTTTGTATTCTCTATAGATAATTAAAGCAAATTTTGGAAAAGATAGAAAATAGAATGCAGAACTTCAATAAAATGGTAAGTAGAAATAAAACTTTTAAATTTTAACAGTTATTTTCAGGTACTGTCTTCATTTGTCTTATCCATTGTCTACTTTGAGTGGCATATGTTTTTGATATTTACAAATATAGATAAAATTTATAGTCTGTACACTTCTATTAAGTAAGATTCCATGTCGTATTTGCTGTCATCATTCATAATATGTCTCTTTTCTGAAAAACATAGAAATACACATTCATCCCACCTTAGCAAAATACTTTCTATTAGTAATGAAATAAATGCAATTTATGTTATTATACCTGGTCTGTTCTTTCATTCATTTACAAAATTCAATATCATAACCAGCCTACGGATAGAACTCCTAACTTAGAAACTGGACTTAAAAGTGGTCTAGCTATGAGGTGCTCAAATAGCACACAGAAGTTGCCTTTTCCAAGAAGGCATTGTGCATATGAAGACAGCTACAGCCATATCACCTCATGAAAGGATGGCAAAACACGACTGCACTCAATTTGCATGCAGGGGGTGAGTCTCTGAAGTGGTATTAAGGGATGAACCAGGCTGGATTAATTTCCAGTCTTTGATATTCATTAACTCTAGCTTCAGAAAAAAAAAAAAAAAAACAGAGATGACACAATTACCCTCAGAGTTTTCTCCATGAGCAGCAGCTTTACAATCTGAAGTTCATAATGGCATACTAATTGATCAAGAAAGGGCACATACTTTTAGTGAAAAGTACTTGGGCTTGACTATAGTAACAATGGTATTTGACTTTGGGAGAATCACTCAATTCCACGTTGAAAATGTCTAGCAAAATAGTTCCTTATTTTCTGTGCCATCTGTCAATGGCTACATCCCAAATAAAATTTGGTGCTGCAAGTATGTCTGGTCAAGATAAAATAATCATTTCATTTGATTCAAATAGTGTTTAGACTTATCATTGTATTTCTATTTATAGATGAGAAACCTTTCAAGATAGATTCTTAGAAAATACTTTAAAACAGAAGAAAACTTCAGCCTAGCATGGTGGCACACACTTGCAATCTCAACATCCTGAGAGGCTGAGGTAGGAGGATCCAAAATTTAAGTCCAGTGTTGGGAATTCAGCAACTTAGTGCTACCCTGCCTCACAAAAGTGTGGGGAATGTAGCTCAGTGTAAAAGGTTTGGGATTACTCATCTGTGATGTAAGCGATGTACTGTCAAACATCGACAGAAACATGAAAACTTTTGGATCGGATGGATGACTAGATGTTATCAAATCTTTTCTGAAATGAGGTGGCAAGAAGGAGTGATTATAAAGAAGAATGTGCTGACCAGGTCTAAAAATTAGCAATGAACAGTAGTTGTATTGGTGCTTATTTACCTCTGGAGCTTCAAAGACTTCAGGGTCACTGTGTATGGCTGGAGGAAAGATGGCTACCATGTCTCCCTTTCGTAAACAGCAGTCACCAGTTTCAGAACTCAGAACAAAGTCTTCTTCAACAAAACGAATAGCACTTGAATATGAGCACAGCCGAAGAGTCTCTAAAATGACGCTTTCTGAAGGAAACAAATAGTACCTTAGGGAAATATGACTGGTTCTGAAAAGCACTCTCAATTTGGCATTAAAGCTCATTACCAGCAGCCTTAATTGCAAAGGAAACCGTTTCTTATCACATCCACTAAGCCCCAAGCAGGAGTCCATGGTGGCTGTGGGTGGAAGGTAAGGATGGGGCAGCCTGATCCCAACACAGCTTGGGAGCAAGGCAGAAAGCAGCAGTGCTGTGTTTGGTAGAGAAAGCCACTGATTAGGATTTTTATAAGAGAAAGCGATCAACAAGAGAGAAATGCTGTGTTAAGGGTACACTTCTTGGAAGGTAAAATTACATCCCACTTACAGCTTACTTCTGGTGGATTATTTCACCAGCCATCAGGCAGGCTTAGCCATTTAATAACCATTTAGGCAGTTAATAGTAAAGTAATTGTAGGAGTGCTTTCTGAGACAGCTTAGCACTTAATTTCTTTTATGCTAGCTGTAAATAAAATGTGAGTCAGCGTTTATGCGACAAATTTCAAAAGAAAAGATGCTTATATAGGGTTTAGAAAACAACCATATTTTCTGCAGTATCCAGGGAGAATAACAGCTATCATCATATTCTAGAAGATTCCAGAAGCTGAATGTCCTTGCTTTCCCAGTGGCCTTCACCTTTTGCTCCTAGCACGACAGATTTTATGGCTAATTTCCGGCAATTTATCCTGGCAGTTTGAGGAGGAATTCCTTTGGGAATAATATGCATAATTTGCATAAATCATTCTGATAGCATGCATATCAGCGTGTAGCTCCTGTCTAGGTCTGCATCTCTCCCTTCGTAATCAAAACTGACTATGTTTCCACCAGCCTGAATGGGTCTTAGAATACAAAGCTTGATTCTTTCTAATCAGCAATGTGAAGACAAGCTCCAAATGGAGTTTTTTTTTCCCCCTGTACCTCTTACATAATAAACTTGTGTTTATGACTTGAAATTTAAAAATCACACACACACTCACACACACACACACACACACACACACACACAAAGAGCTCAGTTTCATAGAGTTTACGAAAATTCGGACATGCCCAGTGCTCAATTATTAGATTATTAAAGGCAGGGCCATTAGTGAAAGTTCACATCCCACAAAAAAATAAAAATGTTATTTCAGTAAATTTTAAGTCTATACACAGCTTGTGTAGGAATCTGAAGTTGCTTTGGGTGCCTTCTCCCAGGGTGTTTTTCCTTAAGCATGCATTTGTCTAAAGAAATGAGGCTGCGGTCAGCTCTGTGTGGGCAGCGTGGTGATTCAATGTGACGTACAGTGAGGCTGCGCATATTCTCTTGGACTGCCTTCGTTATTATAATCAGGCAGAGTCAAATCGGTTTGCTGGTGATAAGGCCAGAAAAGAACTTTGGTTTTGGAACAGGGACTCTACTGCAGATAGCCACAAGGCACCTGACACGATGGATTTCAGTTGGCAGGACACCAACAACCAACATTTCTATGGTGAAAAGCAAGGCTCAGCTTCCCACGTAGTGCTGCTGGCCCTGGTGGACCAACATTATCATTGCATCATTTTAGCCTGTGGTATGAAACGGTAGTTGACATATGCAGTAGAGCTGTTCACCCAACAAGTCCAGTAGGGGTGTGGGAAGAAGAAATACAAAAGCAAAATAGGGAGAGGTGGCTGCTGTGACAGGCCAGGCATTAAACAGTCTGAATAACATGGTCACATCCCATTGGCCTGCATGCTCTTGGGGAGCATGGCAGCTTGTGCCCACCACAGTATCACAAATGACAATTGGGCAAGCATATCTTATGCAGAAGTTAATCACAATAATGGAGCTCAAAGTGTGGCTCAGCAGTCAGATCGTAAGTGACAAATCTGTTTTACTTTCCAGTACCAGTTATGTGTGCAAGACGAGATTGGCTCTAGCTCTGAGCGATCATGCCGATAATCATTAGATGACGAAAGTAATGAGTTCGTTATTATCAACAATGAAGAGTTGAGCTTATGGCATTCTGCAGTACAACATACAGACTCAAAACCCAGCAGCTTTCTGGCCACCCTCAGAATAAATGCAAGCAGAGCTATACATTGAGAAGAATGACAACTGCACACACATGAAAAAATTGCAGCCTCTACTTGTAGTTGTCATAGTTGAGCAGACACCAGGCAGTGCCACTGACAGACCAGCTGGGCCCTGGGAGGACGTCCATGCTACACAGGAGGTACAGTAAATTATCCTGCACGGTAGAGCAACATCTGTTTCTGTGCTAGTGCCGAACAAACAAGGCAATTTAAAACATACCAAGGGATAACCAAGCAACAAATGAACATGACCCTCATTTTTTCCCCCTTCTCACACACAAAGTGCTAAACTTCATTGTGCAAGCATTTCATGAAAGAGAAGCCAGGTTTTTATTTGATAAGGTGTTGTCAGAGAGATTTTACATATTTCCAAAATGGAAAGAAAAAGCTCATAGTATTGTTATTCTTAGAATCGTCCCCTTTCTATCTTCATTTCTTTTATACCAAAGCTAGCACTCACTTCTCAATTTGCTCTAGAATTAAAAAAAAACCTTTCCATATACTTATAAATATTCAGTCTTTAAACCTAATTTGCTATACTTAGTTCACATGCCTTCAAGCATTTGTCTTCCAATTTCCACTGAATAAATGCGTACTAATGAGAACTAGAGCAAGCTGCTGAGGCAAAGCTGGGTGACTTGGGTCTGGCCTGCCACCAGCTTGTGATAGGCGGGCAAATTGAGTTAAAATGAAAAGTCTTGTCAGCTGAAATTCAACATGGTAGCCAAACAGCAAGCTGTCAATCATCCAGCCAAAACAAGGGACTGCAGGTAATAAAAGGTCATCGTGAATCATTAGTGCATTGGCTTTCATATGGAAGTTAATTTTAATTAAACATGATTTCTATCTGTAAATGTTTCATATAACTTATTGTGGATAATGAATTGTTAATTTATGCCAACATTTAGCAGGTAATAGGACCTTTTAATTATTAGAATGCTTTGTAGAAAAATGGTTCTCAGGAATGCAAATATTTGGGGGATAAAATTTACACCAGGCACTACAAGGTGCCAACAATCACAACTGTACTGAGATAGGACTGCTAGTGTTCTTTTGTGAACTGACTAGTATCTTTAAGGTAACTGGATTTCAAAATCCCACACCGAGCTCATAATTCTGAACCTGTATGTGTTTTTCTTTTCAGAATACAAAACTATTCTGATTAAACAAAGAATTGGGGAATGTCAATTTATATGATTTACAATATGAAGGAAGAAAATGGTAAATGAAAGAAAATGCTGGGAGAAAAAGTCGCACACATTTTCTCTTTAGACCTCTGATCTTGATTCTGGCTGCAATAATTGACAGATGATTCTCATTTGCAGATTTAAAGTGCTAAAGCAGAACATGGCAATCAATAATACATATTACAAGCAAACACAAGCACATCCGGTTTCTTCCTCACACCTAAGCCACGTCTGTATAGGTGGAATGAATGCACTGTGACATGGCCAGGCTGTTAATTTGGGTCATCTTACTGATTTGGTGCAGGCTGTCATGCCTTCTGATTAGCCAGGGTGATCAGGGATGGCGGAGTAAAATGCAGCAGGCCCTGCCACAGTCACTTGGGCTGAACACTTGGGTGGATGAGAAAGGAGAAATGGGGAGAAGAGCAGGGAAAGGAAGTTGGTGCAAACTGGAAGCTGTGAAGAAATGGAGTGAGGATCACTGAATACTGTCTATGGGGTTTTTTTTTAAAGGTTTTTTTTTTTTTTTTTTTTTTT